TTTATACTGTTTTCCAGAGCGGCTGCACCAGTTTGCATTCCCACCCACAGTGCAAGAGGGCTCCCCTTTCTCCGCATCCTTGCCAGCACCTGTTGTTTTTTGGTGTTGATTTTAGCCATTCTGACAGGTGTAAGTGATATCTTATTGTAGTTTTGACTTGTATTTCTCTGATGGTCAGTGATGTTGAGCATCTTTTCATGTGTCTTCTGGCCATCTGGATGTTTTCTTCCCCCCCCCCACCTCCCCCCTGGTAACCAGCAGTTTGTTCTCTCTAGCTAAGAGTCTGTTTCTTGGTTTGCCTCTCTCTTTTTTCCCTTTGTTTATTTGTTTTGCTTCTTAAATTCCACATATGATTGAAATCATATGGTATTTGTCTTTCTCTGACTTATTTCACTTAGTGTAGTACTCTGTAGCTCCATCCACATCTTTGCAAATGGCAAGATTTCATTCTTTTTTATGGTTGAGTAAGATCCCATTGTACATATATACCACATCTTCTTTATCCATTCATCAGTCAATGGACATTTGGGCTGTTTCCATAACTTGACTATTACAGATAATGCTGCTATAAACATCGGGGTGTGTGTATCCCTGTGAATGTTTTTTGTATTCTTTGGGTAAATATTTAGTAGTGAAACAAACAGATGGTTACTAGAGGTGGGAGTTGGTTGGGGTTGGGTGAAATAGGTGATAGAGGTTAAGGACAGCACTTGTTGTGATGAACATAGGGTATTGCATGGAAATGTTGAATCACTGTATTGGACACCTGAAACTAATATTACACTGTATGTTAACTAACTGGAATTTAAATTAAAGCTTTTATTTTTAAAATTTTTAACTGTTTATTTTTGAGAGAGAGAGAGACAAAGCATGAGTGGGGGGAGGGGCATAGTGAGAGAGAGAGACACACAGAAACCAAAGCAGGCTCCAGGCTCTGAGGTGTCAGCACACAGCCTGATGCAGGGCTTGAACTCACTAACTACAAGATCATGACCTGAGCTGAAGTTGGACGCTTAACCGACTAGGCCACCCAGTTGCTTCTAAATAAAAACTTATAAAAAATAAAATACTATTCTTTCCCTTACTGAATTGTTGTAGTTCTCTTGTCAAAAATAATTTGACTGTAAATTTATTTCTGTACTCTCAATTCTATTCCATTGATGTATGTCTACCCTATGCCAGTACAACACTGTCTTGTTTACTATACAGCTTTGTAGTAAGTTTTGAAATCAAGAAGTGTGGTTTTCCAGCTTCTTCTCTTTTAAGATTGTTTTGTTCATTTTATTACATTTCCATGTGAATTTGGGGGTCAGCTCATTGATTTCTACAAAAACCAGCTGGGATTTTGATAAGAATTGCATTGAATCTATAGATCACTTTGGGAGTTATTGTCTCTTAACAATATTAATAAATCTTCCAATCCATGAACCACAGGGTATATTTCCATTTATTTCCATTTATATTGTTTCATTTATTTCCATTTCTTTAATTTCTTTCAACAATGTTTTGTAGTTTTCAGAGTATACATTTAGCACTTTTTTGTTATATTTTCCCCTGAATATTTTATTCTTTTTGATGTTCTTATACCTGAAATTGCCTTGTTAATTTCATTTTGGATTTTTTTATTGCTAGTTCATAGAAATGCAATTGAGTTTTGTATGTTGATTTTATATTCTGCAACCTTGCTGAACTATGAGCTCTACTAGTTCTTTTCTGTGGACTCCTGACTTTCTTTATATAACACCATGTCACCTGCAAATAAAAATGTTTTACATATTCCTCTCCAATCTAGGAGTCGTTGATTTTATTTTCTTGCCTAATTGTCCTAGCTTAAAACCTCTCGTACAATATTGAATAAAAGCGTCTTGTTCCTGATCTTAGGGGTATAGCTTTCAGTCTCTCAATACTGAGTATGATGTTAGCTGTGGGGTTTTCATAGATGCCCTTTTCACTTTTAAAATGTTTATTTTTTAGAGAGAAAGAGACAAGAGTGAGCCAGGGAGAGGCAGAGAGAGGAGACATTGAATACAAAGCAGGTTCCAGGCTCTGAGCTGTCAGCACAGAGCCCGATGCGGGGCTCGAACCCACAGACCACAAGATCATGACCTGAGCTGAAGTCAGACACTTAACCGACTGAGCCACCCAGGCACCCTTATAGATGCCTTTGATCAGAGTGAGGAAGCTCTGTTCTATTCCTAGTTTCTTGAGCATTTTTATCATGAAAAGGGTATTGAAGTTTTTCAAATGCTTTTTCTGGGCCTATTGAGATGATTATGCGACTTTTACCCTTTATTCTAATGATATAGTCAGCATGATTTTGAAGAACATGGTATATTGTAAGAACTACTGGAGGAATCTTCTAGCCATACAGTATGAACGTTCCTTTACTTAACCAAAAGTATGCTTCACATGACATCGCTAAATGCTTTCTCTGAACCTAGGAAAAGACATCTTGGGAGAAATCCTAGGGGGGAGTGACTAGGAGAAGTGGTTGAGAGATATGCCAAAATATTCCTCCAGAAACATTTTGTAATTAAAAACAAATTTTGGATCCCATGGCTTTCAAAGTCTCTTTTTCTATTTCAGGGAAGTTGTAAGGGGGAAATCCTAAAAAGTTAGTAAACTCCATTACTGTATGGAGAGTAAATTATATTGGCCAGAAATCCATGTCAGATGCTCCTTTTCTTCCACAGAGTCAAGATAAATATGCCTGGTTGGTATTGGTGTTGAGCCTGAGTGATATTGGATGTTAAGGCAGAAAGGACAACACACTCAAGGAGCTTGCTTGGGGGAGAGAGAGCTCAGATACGATGCAGGCAGTGGGATAATTTCCAGAGAAAAAGGAACCTCAAGGAGAGGTTTGGACCTAGTGGACTGACTGAAGGTAAGAGCAGGAGACAATAGAGTACCCGGATGAAGGGCACCAGTTTTGGCATAGAATCCCTTGCCTTGAACCCCAGCCCTGTCGCCTACGCACTGGTGACCTTACTTCTCTGATCTTCAGTTTCCTCACTTATGTAACAGGCACAGGGTTGTTGTGAGTAAATGAGACTGTGTTTTAAAGCCTCTCCCAAAGTGCCCAGCGCATAAGAGTCATTCTATAAAGAATTGACATTACCTTTCGTCTCTTATTCATGCAAGAATTTTGCTGACCAAAGAGGAGAACCTTAGGTCACGGGGTGAAGGAATCAGTAGTAAGAAGCTGATTTTTATCTACCTTTCCAGATGTAAGGTCATGAACCCTGAAAATAGATGCTTGAACTCTCAAGGGAGCAACTTAAATCATTTACACAAAAATAGAATTAAGTATTTAGTACCAGAGTGCTTTCAGCTACATGTTAACAAGCTGGCTTACACAATAAAATAATGTCTTATCTCATACAATAGGACATTGAGACATAGTGTGTGCTGCAAGATTAGTTGATTTCAGAAGCTGCATAATTTCATGAAAGACGCAGTTTCTTCAGTCCCTCCTTTTACTGTTTAAAATGTCCAGTTCCTTCTGGGGCTGGTTTCTGCTGTGATTGTAAGGCTGCTTGTAGCATACTTATTCACATCCAGTGGGAAAGACAGAGACAAGCTCTCCTTGGTGCATAGACTAAAATCCCTTCATTTCACTCTTACTGGGGTCCCCATTGATCATTGTCCACCCCTGAATTTATTAATAATGATCATCACAGAGTTTGTCAACCGCTGATCGGCTTAAACCTGGATTCCTAAACGGATTACCAACAAGAGGCAGGGAATTGCGACAACTGATTCACACTAATGTCAGTGTCTCTGCCTTCTGGGCCCCGGAAAGAGGATGATCACTGCTGGGTGGAGCAGAACCCCCAGGCAACTGGCAATGGAAATGTAGTGTGAGGCGCAGACTTGAGTGATTTTAAGCCACTAAGGTTTTTTTGGTTATTTGTTACTGTAGTATAACCTGACCTATGTTATGTAACAATAAAAAAAGTAAATAAAGTGTTGTAAACTATATCAAGAAGATGGAGAGAAGTTCAAATGTGAGTGTAAGTGAAACCCTTACACTCTATGAAAGCAAGAAGTCAATAGATGATGTTTAAAATAAAAATAAATAGTATATACAGTCATGGTGGTTTAGAAATATGGAGGAAATTACCAGGAAAGAAATGACAACAACCAAAAAAACTTGCTTAAAAAATTAAGGGTGCCTGGCTGGCTCAGTTGGTGAGCATGTGGCTCTTGATCTCAGAGTTGTGAGCTCGAGCCCCACGTTGGGTATAAAGGTTACTTAAAAAAATATTTAAAAAAATTAAAAGCTATTGCCCAGGGAATAGGCCTGGGATAGGAATAGGTGGAGCCAGAGGAGTTCTGTTTCATTATAAACTCTTCAGATTTTTCTTAACATTTATTTATTTTTGAGAGACAGAAACAAATCACGAGAGGGGGAGGGGCAGAGAGAGAAGACGACACAGAATCCTAAGCAGGCTTCAGGCTCTGAACTGTAAGCACAGGGCCTGATGCGGGCTCGAACCCACAAATTGTGAGATCATGACCTGAGCTGAAGTCGGTAGTTTAACCAGCTGAGCCATCCAGGCACCCTATTCATTCAACATTTACTGAGTGGCTCTACTGTCCAAAATGCTGGGCATACAGAAATAAACTAGACACAGTTCTTGCCTTTTTTTTTTTATGTTTTAAAATAATGTGCTTTTATTCCTTTGATATCTATTTTTAAGTTTTCCATTTATTTGACTTTATTTGATGCAAGCTCTTAAAAAAACCATTTCAGGCCCTTGAAACATGACCATAAAATCCAATTGAAGTCTTCCTGAAATGGAAGTTGTGCTTTGGTTGACTCAGATCTTACATACCTAATTTATTCCTAAAGAACACTTCACTTTTGACCACCAGATGGACAAACTGGTAATCTGACAACCAGCTTCAAAATTAAGACAAGAACAAGAGAATGTTTTTGTTTGTGCCATTTAATAACATTTCAGAGAGAAAAATACATCAAAAGCGACTCTGCTCAGCAAATAAGGTAACTTAAACTTGTTACAAAATGGGTTATGCGCTGCCCTGGCGATACTCTTTAATGGACTTTTCCAGGGGCCAGAGCTGCAGGTTTTTCACTAGTGGATTCCTCTGCTATAACAGGCTTCTCCAAAGCCTCCTCTACCAGTATTAAAATCTTCATGAAACTCATCTCTTACCTGGCCCCCACGTCGGTGACAGCCATACTGTCTGCCCTCTCTAAAGCCTAGATCCCAATCTGTATGGATAACACTATCATCTAGGTGGGTCCCGTTTAGACACCACATGGCATTTTGGGCCTGAAATCTGTTATGGTATTCTACAAAACAGAAGCCACATGCCGTTTTCTTAATTTTATCCAGGTCCGTAAACACATTCTTGACATCACCACATTTTCTAAAGAGTTCATATATTTGCTCTTCCGTAGTATAAAAGGAAAGATTCCCCACATAGAGTGTGGAGCTTTCCTTCAGTAATTTCTCCTGCTCATCATTATTGCCACCAAACTGCTGGTCCCAGTACTCCCTCAGCTCCAGGCAGGGATCGCTGAGCAGAAGTCTCAGGTCATTGGACATGGTGCTCAGTGGATGCTGTGAGGGCAGTGGCTTGAGGTCCATCTTGGCAGCAGTGACACCACTAACAAAACCCTAAAATAAATAGTTAAAAAAGTAAATTTACAAAGAAGGAAGCAGGAACACAAACCTGGTATGTTTAAGAGGTTTGTGCCCTGACACACAGACACCTCAGCTCTTGACTATGAGGATCGTATCAAGGCAAACTTAAAATAGAAAGTTCCAAGCCCCAGGAGCGAGGTCATAAAATGCAACTTTGCAAGTGTTCTTGAAAGGAATGTTACACTGCCTTCGATTGACTCTGATCTTACATACCTAATCTATTACCAAAAAACAATTCAATAACAGAATGCTATGGGAAAATACGGCACAAAGTGGTAAAATGGATCAAAGTTTCATGGCGAATGAGCACTACTGTCATTCCTGATCAAGGACTAGGCATAAGGTAAGATATATATATAAATCAGGGCCAAAGCACAAATACAGTTGTAGTATGCCATATCACAATTTAAAATAACAAATTTATGATTCAAGCCTATAACATGGAAATCAATATATGGTATTGTTAGGTTAGGCAAAAAGTCCCCCCCCCATGTATATATATACACTATCAAGTATACACGTAGCTCTATAAAAATGAAAACATTCTGGCATCATAAATTTGACCTAAACTAAGATTAGGTTTTATTAGCAATAATTCCACTTTTCGTCTTGGACTTTAAAAAGACTTGTATGTAATTGCTTGAATAGTCCATCTATTTTAAAAACTTGCCCAGAGAATTTTAACTAATGCCCTTTTTCCCCTTTATTAAATTTTCCTACTGCAGTCAGAGGCATTTAGAATGATTCAATCGGGTTTTAGCTATACTAAAAAATAGACATTAGCTCCACCCCCCCTTCATTTTGCAACAGTTCCCAAATTTTAATGTGCAAGAAATACCCAAATGACTAGATGGAAATGTAGATTCTTGCAGCCCACCCTTCAGAGATTCTGACTCAGTAGATATATTATCAATAATCGCGCCTCAGATAAATTTCATTGGCTACAATACTGATACTGCCACAAAGCTCTGACTCAGTAGATCCAGAGCAAGATCCAGAAACTGATGTTTAACATCTAACCTGCACCCCTCCAGATGCAAGTAGTGCAAGGACCACACTTAGAGGAAGTCTGCTGAGGAAATGCTTTCTCTTTTTTTAAAAAATATTTTTTAACATTTTTTATTTTTGAGAGACAGAGCACAAGTGGGGGAGGGGTAGAGAGAGAGAGGGAGACACAGAATCTGAAGCAGGCTCCAGACTCTGAGCTGTCAGCACAGAGCCCGACGAGGGGCTCGAACCCACGGACTATGAGATCATGATCTGAGCTGAAGTCGGATGCTTAACCAACTAAGCCACCCAGGCGCCCCCCAAATACTTTCTCTTAAACACATAATGAACACTTTTTATTTGCCAAGCACTATGCTAGGTGCCAGGAATACAACAATGAAAAAGGACATGGTGAATGTACGATTTTCAGAAATTATTGTACCCCCAGCACTAAGCATGATCAATGATCTGCACACACTGTAGACATGCAATAAATATGTGTCAAGTGAAGGAACGTGTAAATTCAGAATTGAGTGACAAAGCCAGACAAATAAACAAGAAAATGCAATATGGTGTGATCAACACTGTTGTAGAAATATACATGAGCGAAAGGGAGAAGGGAACTAACATTTCCTTGGGATCTGCTCTGTGATGGGCAGTGTGCATGTTCTACTATGTCACGGAGGAGGAGAAGCAGTTACCCAGCGTGGGGGCATCAGAGGAGGCTTTCCAGAGAGGGGGTGCTGCATGCACTGAATCGTAACAGACAAGGAGGGTGTGTGTGTACGTGTGTGTGCGTATGTGTGTGTGTGTGTTTGGAAAGAGGACGTACAAATTTTGGGAATGAACCAGAGAAAACATGCACAAGGGCAGAACACAGTCAAAGAAAAATAAAACCTAAAACTGAAATAAGAGCCAAAATAAAAACCAGGTACAAACAAGAGTGCTGTACAATTCAAAGTAGTGAAAATGGGGGGCCCTGACTATTTAGATGTCATTTGAAGAGCAGTAGGAAGCCCACTGCCCAAAAACCATCTTCCTGACAGCCTGTCAATGATTTCTGAAAGTCTGCCGCTAGAAACTCATTACTTTGAGTCATTGACAAATTGTGCTGTTAAAAAACAAATATCCCTCCCAGACTTCATTTCCTTCTTTAAAAAAAAAAAAAAAAAAAAAAAATCTGGTTACTAGATTGCCAGATCAGAAAATGTGATAGCTATAGTGGGTTGCATTTTCATCCAGGCATTAGATAAAGTTTCCCATAATCTTCTTGTAGACGAGATGGCAAAATATAGGCTGGGTGCTCCAGCTGTTTGTTGAGATGTGTCTGTAACTAGCTGAATAAACTAATGGCTTGGTGTCAGACCAGAAGGGATGTTCTAGCAGTGAGCCAAAAAACTCTGTTCTTGGCTGTGTTTTGTTCAGTTCATTTATAATTTTGGCTTCCTACAAACAAGAGCTTTTAAAATGGTCATAACTGCCTAAGATGGAAGGGGCTGCCTTGGTGAGCACTGAGGACTAGTCACCAAGAGGTTCAAGCCAACCTTGGAGAACCCCTTGCAGAGTGGTCAAGCAGTGGGGAGGCCACTTTCCGTTAGTGTAGTGTTATGAATCAAGCCTGAATTTTGAAGCCAAAGGACCTCAGTTCAAATCCCAGCTTCACCACTTCCTAGAAATGTAACCTTGGGCAAAGTGCTTAACCATACTGATGTCAATTTCCACATCTGTAAACCGGGGATCAAAATATCTACCTCTCAGCAGATGCTGTGACGATGTCAAGTGTAAAAGCACCTGGCACAATGTTTAACACATTGTGGGTGTTCGATAAACAACATGTGTTGGACAAAGTTATTCCATTCTGTGATTCAGTGACCCAGAATAAGACATATAAATTACCTATCAAATCTTCCAATGATTCAAGGTAGGAGGGATTTTGAATGGATCTGGGCAAACTTGGATGATACTAAATCCAAAGTGACAAGGTGATGGGTAATACTTAATATATGTAAATTATTACATTTAATATACGTAAATTATTACATTTAATATATGTAAATTATTACTTTTAGATTCAACACAAGTCAAAAGAACAGAGAGAGGGAGATTTGGAAAGAACACAGGCTTGGGAGCCCTGTTTTTAATGGGGCATCCCATACTTCATTTCTTTACTCATTTCTTCATTCGCTTGATAAACATTTATGGAGCACCGTGCTTCTGGGAAATGACACCAGATAAGATACAGCTTCTGCTCTCAAGCATCTCGCAGTGTGGACAAACAACTTAAAAGATCAATTACAACAAATGTGATTATTTCACTTAAATGAGCATGTCCTAGGCCCAGAGGAAACACGAAGAAGGGAGGGAAAACTACAGAAGGGAAACGGTGAGAGGGAGACCACTTTCTAGAAGATATGATCCCTAAGTCTTCTTAGAAAAAGGATCACATTGTATTTATGTTTCAATTAACCGATTCAGATTTCTGGTGTGAAATATGAAATGTAGAAAAGGATGAGAAATGGGAGTCTGAAGTTTGCATCCTACCCCTTTGCCCCAGCCACCCACTTCTCTGCAGAGGCAAATTACTATTACTTAGTTTCTTGTGTAACTATCCTGACATACTCCAAGCTCAATTTTGAAACTTGAATAAGAGTTTGGCTGGAAGACAAGGGGTCATTTTCAGCAGAACAGTGTGTACAAAGGCATGAAGGCATAATGGGGTGTTCAGTTTGGTATTATTTGGGCAGGAGGATAAGGAAAATATTATAAGAAATAAGACTGGAAGGGTACTCAGGGCCAGGTTATGTAAGACCTTGGAAAAGCATATAGAGCAGCTTGGATGCCACCAGTAAACAGTGGGGAGTCATGCTAAGGCCTGAAGCAGGGGAGTGATGTGATCTGATTTGCTATTTCTAGCACCAATATGAAGAACACATGAGACAGGGAGTAGGCCGGGGTGTCTGGGTGGCTCAGTCTGTTAAGCCTCTGACTCTTGATCTCGGCTCAGGTCATGATTTCGTGGCTCGAGCCCCACATCAGGCTCTGCACTGATGGTACAGAGCCTGCTTGGGATTCTGTTTCTCCTTCTCTCTGCCCCTCCCCTACTTGTTCTTTCTCTTTCAAAATAAATAAATAAACATTAAACATTTTTAAAAAAGGGGGAGTAGGCCAAGAGGCGGGAGACTAGTTGAGAAGCTATTTAAATAGTTTAAAGAAAGATGATGGAGAGTCTAGACTAGTATGCTGTAGTAACAAAGCAAAGACATACCAGATACTTAGAAGATAGACTTAACAAGTCTATGCCACTGGTTGAATGAAGAGTCTCGGGTAACTCTTAAGTTTCAAGTCGGGACAACTGTGTGGATAGAGGTCTACATCACCAAAATGGTGGTAGAGGTGGATAGAGGAGAGGGGGCAGATTTAAGTAAAGAAGATGAAGTTGTGACATACTGAGCTAACATTTGAGGTATCTATGGGACATACCATGTCCTACATGTTTAGTCACAATTGAGTGTTCAGGTTTAGAGCTCATGAGAGAGGTATGAGGCTATGAATATAGATCAGGGAGTGAACAGCAAAGTAGGTAAAACCATGGGGATGGATAAGGTGACCCAAGGAAAGGGATAGCATGAGAGGAATACTGAGAAAGAGCATCATGGAACGGGTGACAGAGGAAGAGTCCACAAAAGAACACAAGAAGGAATAGCCAAGAGGAACGAGGAGAATCAGGAGAGGGACAGCATGACCAGAAACAAAGTGTAGGCACTTTCAAGAGAGACATAAGGACAGAAGCGAGGCATGAGGAGGAAAATGGAGTGAGAGCAATCATTATGTTAAATGCAGCAGAAAGAGTTCCAGGAAAACAAAGACTTAAAATTGTTTGTTTGGTTTGGCAATTGGGACATCATTGGTTTCCT